CATCATATGGGAGATCTGTCTACAGAACATCATATGGGAGATCTGTCTACAGAACATCATATGGGAGATCTGTCTACAGTACATCTGGGAGATATGTCTACAGAACATCTGGGAGAATTGCCTACAGTACATGTGGGAGATGTGTCGACAGAACATCTGGGAGAATTGCCCACAGTACATGTGGGAGATGTGTCAACAGAACATCTGGGAGAATTGCCCACAGTACATGTGGGAGATGTGTCGACAGAACATCTGGGAGAATTGCCCACAGTACATGTGGGAGATGTGTCTACAGTACCAGTGTCAAATGCGTTTCCAGTCCCTCTGGCAGATATGTCTACAGTACATATGACAGATGTGTCTACAGTCCCTCTGGAACATATGTCTACAGTACCTCTGGCAGATGTGTCTACAGTACCTCTGGTAGATGTGTCTACACCCCTTTTGCTGCTTCGGAACTAATTCCACCACTTAACTGTTGTGTGACTTTGACCAACTTCACCTCTCTAAATGTTATTTTCATCCTCTAAAATGTCAGCACTAAAAAGCATTTATTGTGTAAAATTTTCAATGTTGTATTTCTGGTAAAGCCCTTTCCATATTGCCTGGTGATAGCTTTCAAAAAACTAGCTTCAACACATACGTATATTGTATTATATATAGAAACTAAATATACACACAAAAAGTTCAACTTTTAGTTACATAATTTATATTCAGATACATAATAACTTTTCATAGTTTTGTTTTTTTTTAAATGAGTGAACCTAACTATTCACTAGGCAGCCCATTTCACTGCTGAAGCCACTGAGAATGGAATACTCCATATCAAATCACCAGTGGCTCCATGAAACTTCTAGTGTCTTAGCCAGCTGTTCTCAACCTGTGCGTCAAGACTCCTTTGGGGTTGAATGACCCTTTCATAGGGGCTGCATATCAGGCATCCTTCATATCAGATATTTACACTACAATTTATAACAGCAGCAAAATTACAGCTATAAAGTAGCAACAAAAATAATTTTGTGGCTGGGGATCACCACAACATGAGGTATTAAAGGGTCACTGCATTAGGAAGGTTGAGAACCACGCAATAAACAATGACTCTATTTCCACATTTAAAAAAAAATATCTGAGCATATGTCAGCGTGGTATAATGCTGAGTAACTTCTCTCCTAAAACTGACCAGTTTTATCCTTTAGAATAAAATCTTGTGATATTTTTATAATGGTCCCTCATATATAGACCAATATCATCAGTAATATTGGTGATCAAAATGGGAACAGGGTCCCTATGTTGCTGTGTCCTCAATAGGCTCCAGACAGTTATTGGCTCAATAACTAATATATTGCCAACTGGTATGAATCCCTGTTCTCCCCCCCCACTGTATGTGTGTGTGTGTGTGTGTGTGTGTGTGTGTGTGTGTGTGTGCACGCATGTACTTTTGCAGTATATCCATATTCCAAAGTAAAAGATGAACATTTTTCTACACTTATCTTCCCTTCCCAGTCAGAACTCAAAATAGTCTTAAGGAATCATAAAATGTTTATACAAAAAAAGAAAGAAAGAAAGAAAAGACAAACATGAACACCAGGTTTAAGTTCTAAGGTCCGTCTTGCCACTGGCACACTTTTTGAAGTGACCGTACCTGAAGCCCTTGAATTCTCTGTAAGTTTTCCTCTCTGTTCACCATCCTTCTGACTACCTAGACTGTGCAGCAGGTGTGCCAGTTCTTGTGCCCAGAAGTAGCAACCTCTAAAGATTGACGTACACATGGAGCCCTACATGAGTTTTGTGGGCTCACAATGAGGTTAATACTCAATATCCAGTCGTGTAACACAGTCTATAAATCGGTCATCCCCCCCCCCATTAGAAACAGGTGAATTTAGAACTCGGATCATTGATCAGGGAAGACAAGTGAGTGGTAAACCTTCACTTCATGTATGTACAGTGGTTGAAAATGCTTATCAAGGCTACACCAGGTTAATCTATGAAATTTTAACAATATTAGAGTGGATGGTACCACAGATAAGTATCCATTGGAAACTGAATTCTCACACTTTCTAAGGCATATTGGGTCTCCTATACAGGACACTGATAGAGTGCCATTCTGGCTATGTTACTACAGTGTGCCTCCACCCCCAGCATTCCACAGCAGGGAGCCAATGTATTTACAATTATAATACCCAGATAGTGTGTCACTTTGTTTAAACGAAATTTTAAGCATTTTCAGATGTTGCTAAAATATAATCATCAGTTTTCTGAGAATATCCAAAGTGTTTTACACAAGTAAGTTGATTCTAAATTTTCTTCTTCTTTTCAAACTTTATCTTTCATCTAAATCCAAGGAAAGAAATCCTAGTCACTGCTTTTCAATTTTCCTAATAGCTTGGGTCATAATCCATGATGAAACAGTTCTCGGGCTGTGTGAACGCTGTGTTTTGGATCTTCTATAACACCTCAAATACTAAGACTAGAGCAGTGGTCCTCAACCTTCCCAATGCTGCGGCCCTTTAATACAGTTCCTCATGTTGTAGTGACCGCCAACCATAAAAGCATTTTTGTTGTTACTTCATAACTGTGATTTTGCTACTGTTATGAACTGTAATGTAAACATCTGGGGTTTCTGATGGTCATAGGTGATGCCTGTGAAAAGGTCATTCAACTCCAAAGGGGCCATGCCCCAGAGGTTGAGAACCACCAGGCGAACGGCTCAGTGTCCAGTCTGTGGAGCTATAGGAAGCAGAGGTGCCTTTCGGAAGAACTTTGTGGAAGAAGTTCAGTCTTTAGGGGTTGACCCTTAAAAGTATAGAGAGGTGGTGTCTCTGTAACTCTCTCTTTTCTCTTCCCCACTTCAAGTTAACCATGGACTGAAACATCTGAAACTGTGTGTCCCAATACCCCTTCCTTCTTGTGAGCCATGGCCTTGGGTCCTGTCACCACAACAGACAGGGACCAACACAGCTGCCCCCTGGGAAACTTGAAAATATCCAGGTTTGGAGACTGCCATGCCTCTGAAACTGCTCTGATTTGTCCTTTAGCACGCTGAACCGAGTTGTCACTTAATTTAGAATTCAGACAACATTTTTCATAGTTTCTTCCAGCAAACCTCAAAGGACAAAACAAAGATCATTTCTTTGGGAATCTTACATTTTGAAAATCAATCTTTAAAAATCACAATGTTTTAAAACCAAAGTAGAACCTTAATAGAGTACTAATGTCCTCAAACTGAGAACACGCGTGTCTTTCCTATGTAAGACCCCCACACAGCAGTTCCTGAGACACTCTGTAAAACACTTCAATGCCAGAGACTCAGAGGAACACTTATCCTGGGTCCATCTACCTAACTCCTTCCCTTCATAACCCTGGAGATATGTTGCTCTCATATCTCTCACACACAAATATATATAATATATATTTAATATTTAGTATAATTAACATGTTATTTTATAATAGTATTGATATTTTAATTTTAATTAAATATAATTAAAATTAAAATTTTAATTATAATAGTATTAATATTTTATAATACTATTATAAAATAACATGTTAACTATGAACTTATTGGGAAGTAAGTCCTGTTTCAAACAGTTGATGTGACTATCTGTCCATGGCATAGACACAACAGTCATGACCTTCAGTTTCTATTTTACTTTCACTATCTCCGGCTCTCATGTGCGAACTCTGAATGATATCATGTTCTGTTGATAGGATGATGTTTTCTTTGCTTGTCTCATTGTGTGGGAAGTCGTTTCCCTGCCCCTTAGCACCATCCCTCCCTAGCAAGGTCTTATACCTGTTGTTTTCTTTCCAGCTAATGTTTCCATGCTTACAGGAAGAGAGGCAAGAAGGGTGTTTACTCTATCATACTGCCTGCTTTAATTGGAGACAATTCACCCCATATCTAGAATTTTGAAATGAATACCATGTACTAAGTTCCAACAGAAGCCAAGTCCAGAAAACTCTCGTCAAGAACTACAGAAAAAGGACCACTGTGGGTTCCTTGTTCAAAGAAGATCCTTCCATTTGATATAGAAAATAAAAACATACAGTAGGGAAAAAAAAGTGTGTAAAAGAAGCAAGGCTCACAACAGGACTGATGTACATATGAACTCACGGAGACTGCGGCAGCATGCACAGGACCCAACCAGGTCCAAACCAGATGGGGTCCCAGCTCTGAGAAGGAAGTAGACACGGGCTCCCATCCCTAACCCAGAAGCTACCTCCAATTGACATCTGCTCACAGAGGAAAACTTAGTGTTCTCCAGTTGAGTCTCACTGAGGACACAGGACACAGCTCAGGGCCTGCAGAGCATGTGCCCAGCAGAAGATGCCGACATAAAATGAGCTCAGTGGCATTTGGGGGGATTTTTTGTCTCATGTCACTTTGGGCACTTTTTATCTTACTGGTCTTTTGCTAGTATGTTATGTTTCCGCAACTTGTGTTTTTATGGGTTTTGTTTCTGTGTGCCTGCCTCTGTGTGTGTGTGTGTGTGTGTGTGTGTTCCTAGTGCTTTTTTTCTATTTTTTAATTCTATGGTTGTTTCAGGTTTTTGTTGTTGTTGTTTTTCTTGATGTTGCTGTTGTACTGGTATTGTTTGTTTGGTTGGTTGATTTTGCCTGTTTTTTTTTTTTCTTTTTTCTTT